GTTTCCAGGATGGTTGCGCGATTGCTCCGATTCCGCGAGTTAGTTAAGTTGAGGTCCGTTTCGAGAATGTGAAATGTATATATGTATAGTTCATCCCCCTGACTGTGTATACGTCACGCTTCCGTGACATTCCGCCGTTTAGAAACGCTCTGATTTTTATCCTTCTCCCGAAACTTTGTTACCTTGACGCTATTCTTAAGCACGAAATGGTTGAAGCTTTGTACTCATTAGTGTAAATAATGAGGTACATTATAAAGTACATGCATTCACCCGTACTTAAATTTTTGCAAGAGTTATTCCAAGAAAAATATTAGCCTAAGATTAATCTAATATATTAACATTGTAAAACTGCTTGTAAATAATCTATCAATTTAAATCGCAATAAAGTAATTCAAATGCAACAATAAATTAAAAAATACGAAGATACGATACATAGTTTTTATATAAATAATATAATCTGTTCTCATGGTGTGTATATATATGTGTGTGTGTGTGTGTGTGTAAAAAGATAGAACTTATATCGTTGACCCAAATCACTTTGCGAGGCATAATGATGCGCATCGGGAAATGTATAGCAAACTTCGCTATGCCGAGTGGTACTTTTAGCAAGAGAAATTTCTCAAGATGGGGTTAATTACACCGACAGCATCTTTCGTAGCGCGCATTTCCGAATAAATCACTCACGAGGCAGATTTTAGATTACTGTTAGCCGCAGAAAGAGAGCAGCGATGAGGCAACCCCGGTATCCTCATCGTCGGGGACACCGGGCGGTGGCAAAGTATCGCGCGATGGTAAACGCAGCCCGCGAAAATTGCGTCGGATTATTAGAATTGTAATTACGAAGAGGAGAGCGGCGTAGATTGCGACGGTGATGCAGTAAGTGATGGAGTAGCCCTGTCAACCGCGCAATCATCGCGCACATTTATACCGGTGACATTCAATTAACATCCGTGGACGTTCGCCCGATTAAAGATGCACAAGCGATCGCGGTCGCGAAAATAGATCGATCGATCGTGAGAGCGATTTTATCGATCGTCTGCACGCTCTTTCGAATCGCCAATTAAATACACGATAAAAGAGATTTTTTACATCGCATATTTTTTTAAAATTTTATCCGAATCTATGTATTCTATTTATGCAGGCATAAAGCGACTCACCACCTTGCATGAGACTTCCAGGTTGACCGGGTTGAGGGGATGGTCCTCCGGGTAGAGCGTTTCCACCCGCTAGAAGACTGCCATGCTGGCCACCACCACCACCTCCGCCCTGCTGCGCTGCCTTCATCATCTTCTTGTACTTACTTCTTCTATTTTGGAACCAGATTTTCACCTGCAAGAAAAATTAAGATCTTTGAAATAAGATGTTCAACAATATGAAGCTAACATTCAGAAATTTTATTATATCTTACGCTTATCTAACACAAGAATTCGACTGCTTCAAAATATAAACAGAAATAAATATAAATAGCGTTGTCAATATTATGATGGAATCATCGTCATCCATCTTATCTTAATAATGAAGATAATTTCCGTCAACCTTCTGAAGATATTAGAGTGAAAGAATAAATGGCGAAGAATGAGAAAGATAAATGAGGAACTATTCGTGGGGACAAAAAGATATTGTAATTGGATAGAATACGCTATAAATAAACTTATTACATTATGTTGAATATTTATTAATGTATATTATTATTCAGTATTTCAAGATTATTTTCTTAAGACTATTATCGTTTATATATGCATATATTTGCATAATAAAACAATAATTAATTTCTAAAAATACAAACTCTTGTATTAAAAAATTTGAATGTTTATAAATGTTAATAAATACAGAATTAAATAAAACATAAGCATTAGAAAATATGTCTAATTAACACAATTTTAACGAAATTATTATCTCGCTCCTCATACATTTTATGATTTTCGAGCACACGATAAATTGTAATATTTACAATATAAATCATACGTATTAAACATCCAATCATCATAAATCATCATATATAAACATCATAATAAATACTATAATTAATATTATGTTTATTATTAATGTATTCTTTTTCTGATTTCCTCAAACCATCGAATCGGTTCATTAAATTATTATGAAATAAAATCACGAGCGTTTTCGTCGGGATGCATCGTACGATTATCGATTCGACCGTGCATGGAAGTACACTTCGCAACCGTATGATGATGCGCAGGTATGCCTGAATCTAATCCGATGCTTCGCATCATTGCTCCGTACCGTCGAGAGTTAGATTTAAGAAAAAAAGAACGCTCGTCATTTCGTAATCATCGTTTCTTTTGCCTCCTCCGTGCGATGCATAGAACCGCAGCAGCGGCAAGCAACTTTGTTGTCCTGATACCGGGTGCACACGCGCGATCACTAGGATTGCACATGCTGTATTTTTTTTTTGTCTCAGTATCCGCACACATGCGCCGCATACACGTGACGTGCTAGCTCAATCTTACGTAACCTTGCCGTCGCGGAACTCTAAGTGTGTACGTATTACAGGAATATGTGCAAAGTATATATATTCGTGTTTTGCACGGCTAGACCGAAGCCATATGTTTGGATATGTACTGTTCAAATTGTCAAAACAAAACTTGTTGTTTAAAGGCTCCTTTTTACTTGGCCTTGTCCCGGATAGTACGATATCTTTTTTTCTATTCCGTAAAAATAGCTGTATATTTAATTTCATTCAATGTAAAATTATTACGATATATGATATATATTTTTATTCATCTACATATAATTATTAAATCCATAGATTGTCCAATTTTCACAAAAATAAAACTTCTCATATCAAAACAATAAAAGATCGATTATTATTTTTAGAAGCTTTCCATGCGCGTTCTTCTGCCCCTGACATGTTCATGACTCTGTCATTCTCCCACACACGATGTAATAGAGGTATTCGGCTATGCCGGATGACTCGGACGAAAACAGAGACATATACCTTTTTATTAATAGTACGCTAGACTTAATGACTTTTTAACGAGCCTATCCGCTACAAACCATCCGGGCTTACTCGATCAAACTTGATATTCCACAGCCACGTCGATCAAACGCTATGATCGTGAAACGCAAAATGAATACAGCGAAAACGCGCGCCGACTATTCATCAAACACACGAGAAATATTTTTTTACAATTAAAAATTACTTTCCTTTCACGGCAATTTTAACCCCGTCAACCAATGCGTTCGCATATGTATGCGGCAAGAATATAAATTATGATATAAACTATATCATAACTGGCGTATATATATATGAATTAATTATTAAATAGACGGTAAGGCAATTCTTCACAAAAATTCTTGTGCGAGAAAAGTAACGATTAAATGTTTCTTTTTTTGTTTGTTGCTTCATTAGTACGGCATATATTCAATCAATATTTTCAACATATCGAAAATATAGCCGGTAATAACAATTTTCTTTATAAGACGCGAGAGAACGATACGTAAACACGTTTCTTTTTTTTGGCAATTAGGTGAGTCTCTCTACTTTTAATGAACTCGTATGATGTTGCATTACTCTCGATGCATCTCCGACCGCCTCCTTCCATACCTTTTTAGCATCTCGCTTTTGACTGGACGCGAATTGACTTAGTTAATTAAAGCACTGTCCAGCTTTTGATTGACGTTCAAGGTATAAAAAGTCGACGACATGAATATACGTATGTGCATATTACTTTAGAGTCTTGCGCAATGGAGGAATCACGAGTTGGTAAGATGAGTGGTAGGCATCTTTTTATTAAATGCTTCCAGTTTACTATTATTCGAAAAAAGTATCAAATAAAATGAGAAACGGCAAAGAAATTGATTTAAACATATTGGATGAGTTACACATCGCAATTATAGATCAAACATATAAAAGACTATGATCGAAAGACGTGCAAAAAGAATACATTTCTCTCTCTCATATAGATTATTCGAATAGAGGGATTTGCGAGTGTATCGCAAATAAGAAATAAGAGATATTTGCAACGTGTAATCAAACATAACGCGCCTGCCGATCGCAATTGCATTATACTGATGCAGATTTCACTTTCCGCTCATTTTCCTAATACGCAGAACGATGATGTACCCAGGGCGGATCGAAAAGCCGAGACTAATCGGTAGGTACGGCACGGCGCTCTTGCATTATACATAAGAGCGAAGAGACTAGAAATAAACTGTGGCTCCAGTTTTGCGGAACACGCGTCGTCACACTCCGCCGTAGCCTCTTCATTAAAATCACGGCACGAGCTACCGAAAGAAACGTCTTGGCCGATACAGATACTATGCGCGTACCTACAAGATATATAGGGTGTCCCAGAATCTTCGTCTTTTAATTTTAATAACAGATTGTTCGATAAATTTTAGTTTCGTATTCAATAGTCTCTCCAGTATAAAATAACCGAACGAATTAGAAGATTCGTGATACGAGAAGTGACTACACGAAAACAGTTAACTCTACGAAACACATGATATTTGCATCGACTCCATGCTCATTAAAACGTCCGAGTGTGAGAATTCCGAGGCACCCTATATATACACGCTACATATCATCGCGAAAAATATGCCGCGGCAACATCGACGTGGACTTCCTCCGGCCTCTGGCCGGGCGAGCGTGCGCCCGGCGTGCCGGCGCAGATAAATCTCTTTCTAATTGCTCGCTGAAAAACTTGGCCGCGGTTGCGCCGAGTCGTGATGGCGCCCGACAAAGGCCAGCAGCGCTAAAACCCGATCTCGACGTGCTTTATTTCGCTCGGCTAAGCCGGTCAAGCCGGCCAGCCGGGACGAAGCGAATCGCGCTCGCCGCGCGGTTTGTTTATTGATATTTACAGCCGGCGTTGACAGGGTACGACGCGCATCCACGGTAAGGGATGCGCCTTCGTTCGCGAGGATAATATAGGGGGGTTGTATCTATTTCGAGTTGCCGGCGGCTTCTATCTCTCTCTCGCGGGAACGGCATGTGGGATATAGTTACGCGCGTGTCGGCGCAGAGCTTTAATTAATGTCTTTTTTCTAGGTGTCGTCGAATATGTTAGATCGCTCTTCTCTTTCTTCTCTTGCGGTCGTTTTATTCGAAGAAAAAGATTGCGGACAGTGATTGTACTTTATGCGTAGTGTAATTAAAGATAGGATATATTTATCCGCCTCTTTTTTCCGTCGATTGTTTTCTTTCTTTCTCTTCTTTTGTTAACGTTTCTTTTTTGGAATATTAAAATAATTTAATATTATTAATCATAATTTATAATAATATTATATCATTCTTTGCTGTATCGCGTAATATGTATTATGCCTGATATGATAAGTCTGTCCAATTTTTTATTTCATTCCAGTAGATAGAGAAAGCGATATCGAAACGCGAATGTGAAAACATAAGATTTCATAGTGCGAAATATGGTTTGAGATAATAATGATTGTTCTCGCAAAGCGGTACGACGACAAGCTCGGTCTTCAATGATTTATTACCTCTTGCATTCTATTGTTCCGTTACTAGCATTCTTTCTATCAAATCGTTCCCATAATTTGCGCACGAATGAGAAAAATGTCGAAATTTAAGGTCATATACACGGACAAGATTTTGTCCTAAATATAACATTCTTACAAAGTCTGTAAAAATCTCTTTAATGTTAATTTATTTATTTAACTTTGTCGCACATATAATATAATCGGCAAAGTGTTTCATAAGAATTACTATTTAAATATCCTCAAACAGATTCACTTGTAGAGCGACAATATCATTTTTATTTCCACATAATTTTCAGACTCTATTTAATTTATATGAAAGATTCGAGATAATTTTCACGCAACCTACATATAAAGAAACCACACGCGGGTGCTGAAGATAACTGTAGAAATAAATCAAATCACACTCCAAGAGAGTGAGTTATAGAGCCGTCTGTTGGTCGGCCGCGAGGTAGTAATCAAAATCGCTTTTGCTCCAGCGACGTTACATCAACGTGAGCGAGGCGTCGAGCGGAATCCGCAACGACTACGTCGCGTCGCGCGAGTTAAAGAGAAGCGTAACCGAGGGAACGAGAGTCAAGGGATACGAATGCACCCTGACGCCGACGGGCACCGGCACGGTGGCAAGCTGTCGTTATCTCTCGACCGGACTTAGAGAAGCGCGTGTTACGTGGCTCCTCTGGCCGTCGAGCAAAAATTGCAACGCGCGCGAGAAGCAGCCAGCCGGTGGTCGTTCCCCGCCTCGCCTCGCCTCGTCTGGCCTCGTGCCAGCAAAAAAAGGAAGCGAGGACGCTGTTGCTGCCGGGCCCCGCTGATGTTGCCGCGACCAGCAACGGGCTTCCGACGTCGCCGCGGGCGAGGAACTCGGTAACAGT